GCTCGTACTCTGCATCCTGCTCGCAGGAGTCCAAGAAACCGAGGCTGGATCACGAGTGGCGCGACAGGCTGGGGATGAATCCGGTGGTGGTGGTGGCGCTAGTCCAGGTAATTTGTGAGTCGCCTATGTTAGTATGACTCGTTTTTTTCGAGACTGCAAGCCCTGCTGTTGCATAAAACTGTTGAGAGGAAACCTCGTCTCTCTGCAAGTTCCGATAACTGTAGTGATTTTAAAATTTGTCAGTGAACACACTGAGAAATTCTTCATTGAATCACACTTTGGAAAAAGCTTTGCAGCTCTGAAAAATCCTCTATATCGTTTACACTGTTGTTATCAGTGACCAATCAAGTTACCTTTTCATCCGGACAAATTGTGCTGAGCCATTGCTCTTCAAGTTCTTATGCTCTCAATCGGGCAGCTGAAGCACCTAAACTTCATATGCATTTTAAATTGTCTTTTAACAGCTGCGAGTATTTCGCGAGACCTCCGTGAGAACTCTTTTCGTACTAATTTTTTATAATTTCTGTAAGAGGCGCAAGCACTCACTAGTAGTCTAAGTGGTAAGCAAATATCAGGAGCAGCTATCATTGATAAGACTGGCGATAACTTCTTCTTTCGAGAGTTGCTTAGAAGCAAGCTGAGGCACAATTCCTTAGCATAGACCAGTGCAATACCTAATTCCGTCAAATACTCAGTCAATTCAGAAACATTGCTTTGAAAAACTTGGCTTTATCCAGTAGCATCAAATCTCTTGCGAGGTGGACGCAGCCCATTTTCAGCACCGCTCTCTCTGAAGTAATGCATTTTTTTAGAGCCATTTTTCCTCGTAAATTTAATTCTTGAAATACAAATTCATGTTTGTAATGGTAAATGATAAATGATTTCAGGCGAAAAATTCAGGAAAGGCTTAAGAAAGTTGGTGGACATCGGCAAAAAACTTTTTGGAAGCGTTTAAATCACTCTGCAGTTCAGTGCAGCACCATCAATATGAATCTGCGGTGAATATGATATAAAATGATGTGTTAAATGCTTATTGACTTTAGCTAGGTTTAATAAACTTTCGTTCGCTATTTTGACCAATTTTTGTACTACACTATATAATTTCCTACTAAGCTTCGCATTCCAGTCTTTCAAATAAGTCATTACAACAGGTAAGAGGCTGTACTGATGATTTCTATTCCCACCATTTTCGAGCTCTCTATGTTTGTGGCTAAAGAATAAAACATTGACTACTTCCCCATATGATATATTGACTACTTCTGCTTCCCCATACTTGAAGATGATATGAAATTTCTGTGCTTTTCATCAGAATATTTCAGAACTTATGAGGAGTTAGCGGCCATGCTAGTCATGGGTGATACGTATTGCTGCTTTTAGCCCAGCTAATTCTGGCGATCTTGGGCTTTCTACGTGAATTGAAATGTAGAAACATAAATTTGATAGGAACTTCTAAACGCATCCATTGTCTTGGGTATAACAATCAATTGGGCTTATTTTTCGATATATTAAGCCTACTTTGAGTTACTATCAGGCTTAAGTATGTAGCCTAGGACGATAGTTTAAGATCCACTGGACGTACAGAAGCGAACAGCTTGGATGCTAGCTGAGTTTGCATCTGACAATCAGTTGCTACAGATTCGCAGAGTTGCGAAACATTCAGAGTTGCTTTTTACCTCTTAATGATGGTTTCCTGATATGTAGGTTGCTGTAGAAAACGCCTGAAATACCACACTTCAAGCTGTGTTTAAATTCTTTTTTTCTTGCTCCTTGCGTAAAAGAATGAAGTGAAAGTTGGTGTTACGCTTTTGAATCCACTTATGACCAAAAAGTATGCTTCCCAGAGTAGTATTGAGAGTTTTCTAAGTCATTGAAGGAGGTAGCCAGACGCTTGCTAACGTATAAACATGGCTTCAATAAAGTGTAAAGGTTCATGCAGCCCAGGCTGTAACACACCCGGTTTGTCGATGTGATCATGAGTTTTTGCATTAAACTTGCAGCAGTCAAATTGTTAGCAGCAGGCACGGTTTCTGTGTTGTGGTTTAACTGGTCGTTTCATACTAGTTGTGTTTTGGCTCCTTGCATACAAGGAAAAGGGGTGGACCGGGACGATAGTGTTGCATTATGGGGCCGCGTGACCTTCCTCTGCGCATGATTTTCATTCTGAATGAAGCCTGGTCATTCATCGAAAAATGTGAGTTTGACAATGCATAGGGATGCCCAGAGAAAACCATGTCACGAAAATATCAGGTGTCAAAATATCAGACCTTTATATCAGGCCTTTGCCTAACGGCGGTCAAACTTACACATTCTAGAGAGGCTAGTTACCTGTATGGGATAATGTTCGCTACTTGTATAAGTGGTTCGGCGCGGCTGGGAATTGTGCTTTACTCGAGCATTACACGGGCAACACTGCGTGTTTGCACGAACTTTGTTGACATATTATCTGCAATCTAATTTTTTGTGTACTGGTGAAGCGCAGCAGACGGGCCAACGCGATCTTGTGTTTTTGCAGTGTTTCGTACTGTAGCGAGGTCGTCTGGAACCCCAGTGACTAGAATTTGGACAGGAGACAGCCTGTTAAATTTTAGCTTCCCAGCTTCTCTGGTTCCCGAATTAACGATTTTCCCGCCATAAACTTTCGCGAGGCCGTACGTGAAAACTACGCGCACGTGGAGGCTAAATTTGAAATCCCTAAGTTTTATGGATCTAGGGAGATTTCTTCAAAATTTCACCGTTTCAGCTTTTTTAATTCCCGAATTAGCGATTTTCCCGCCAAAGCTTTCATTTGCTTGTGCGCGAAGTTGGCACCTCGGTTCTAGGTTGGTACTTGGCCGGGGAACCAATGGCAACACACACATACATACACACTGCCACTCGAAAATATGTTTTTTTGTATTGTATTAATACAAAGAAGCATAAAAAGTATTTTTCTGTTGTTTCACCCATCACTTTTCAAAGTTTTGATTTTTTGCACAGATTTGCTTTTTTTTTCTTCAGATATTTATCAAAATGGGGCAAATTCATTTTACCGTCTGCGCTTTCTTGCAGAGTTTTATTTTTGCTCGTGAAATCCATTGTTATTGTCTGCCGACAATTTTTGTTCTGCTTAGCTACAAAAGCTCTAGAATCGAATTTCAGACAAGTGACTGAAAACTGTCTTCTCTTGGCGCCTCTTTTGGATAAGCTTATTAATAATAAAAATTGAAAAAAAAATAAAATAAAATAAAAAAGAATGCATAAAAATGTCGGTACAAATACAGGCAAGAGGAATCGAAACTATTTATGCTAATTTTTTTTATTCGTGTGTATAAAAAACAAATAGTTTTATTAATATACACGCATGTGGGAGCAGTCTGGAACGTTCTTTTTTTTTTTGCAAAATATACATGATGAGTGCGTTTGTACGAAGCAAGCAAGTAAACGACTGGGATTTCAGTACATTATAACACTAGTAGCAAAGAGTTCGATCACTTAAAACTATTAAAAGCAGAGTTTTCCCTAAAAGAAGCTGATTAGTAAAGCACTGGAACACGGATAAAATCCTCAGGATGCAAAAGAAAGTAAAGGAGCGAGCAGCTAGAGGAGTCCAGTGTTTAAGAGACAAGTTTATATTTTTAAAAAATCAGCGGGCATGAAGCAATGGAAATTAGCAGAGTAGTCGCACAGGCGATCGAGGATTCGACAGTGCCGGTTGGCAACAAATTACCTTTGCAAGTTGATTATTCATTTTAAAAATAAGCTAGTAGTGGCATATACCACGATGTCAAACTTGCTATAAGACAGCTCAAAAGCAGCCTCCGAAAGTGAAGTTGGTAGATCCAGGAGGAGACAAGAGGCCTTTCACCCATCCACTCAGACCACTCTGATCCGCCAATGGAAGGAGAGAACCGTTATGAAATTTAGCAGCGGGCAGTTATCACAGGAATTTTTTTTCATTTGGACTACTTCCCGACTGCCTCTGTGTACTATACAGAGTGAATGCGAACTTTTGGCTCTTGACTTATACGATTTTTAAAATTACTTTTATAAAATCTCCCTTTTTAAAACCACCATAGTATTTTTAAAATTATTTCTTTGACTATAAATTTGGATATTTTAAAGATATGCCAAGTTTATGAAAATTGGTTTTTATTTAAAAAAAACCAAACAGGTGTGCAAAAAAATCTACAATACAATTTCAACGAGCCTTCTGCCTCTGCGGCTTTTCATGCTCTGGTTTTTTTTTAATGCAGAAATTTATAAAAATAAAATTTTCTGGCCATCCAAAAAACATTAGGCAGGTGTGCAAATAAATGCGTACTGCGTATACTACATATAAGCTGAGCCTCAACCAGTTTCGACCATTTTTCATAGACTGCTTGGTGGCTCCTGAGATAATGAATTTCAAGCAAAAGTTGTAGCTTAACCAAATGCCGATAAATCGTTTTAACTTTGACCCTATCCCGTTAATCCGTAGGAGGACATAAGCGTAAGCTTAAACTTACGAAGCGCCTTTCAAAATTTAGCGTACTCAGTTTTGGTACTACTGCCTGAAGAAGTAGTGCCTTCTGTTTTTATGCAGTTTTAGTTAAATTACCTGAAATAACGCTTGTTTTGTTTTTATGCTTCGTTTGTTTTATTATTTTTTATTGTACCGAATTTAACCCCTTTCGTTTTAAACTTACTCGTTTTTGCTAAATCTTGCATTCTTTTTTTTGAGCGATTTATGCCCACTCTTCTTCTGTGTAGCTCATGCGCCAAATTCTACAACCGATCAATCGAAATGGATGAAATAAATTTATCCCGTTTTCCTTAAGTGCGTTTCCCATAAGTTTACCCGTTCCCCATAAGTGTATTATTACTTAGTTAAACTGGAAGCTGCACTCTTATATTTTTCATCATGCACCCTCCAGAATACGCTACCGAGGTAGGCACTGTTTCGTGAACTTGAACTATTTTTCTAGGATAAAAACATGCGCGTTACTGTAATCTTCGATCTGATGCTACTCGTGCTCTGCGTCCTGCTCGCAGGAGTGCAAGAAACCTCGGCTGGATCACGTGTGGCGCGACAAGCAGAAGATGAATCCGGCGGTGAAGGTGGTGGTGGACCATCAGATGCTGGTGGTGAACCGTCAGGCGGTGATGAACCATCAGGTGGTGGTGGACCACCAGGTGGTGGTGGTGGACCGCCAGGTGGTGGTGGGCCACCAGGTGGTGGACCACCGGGTGGTGGTAGACGACCAGGAGGACGTGGCGGCGGTCCAGGTAATTTATGAGCCCCTTTTTGTTGAATTGTTTGGTTTTTTTTTTTGAGACTGCAAGCCTTGTTGCTGCATTAAAACTGCTGGGAAGAAGTCCCATTCTCCGTAAGAAGTTTCGATAAAGTTCTTTCGCAGAAAAATACTGCTATTTAATCCCTCTTTTTTATCAAAATACTAAGATCGCCGGAACCACCAGAAAGGTATTTGATACCAACGACATTACTGGAATGTTCGTGTACACTAAGCCAATTCGTTCGATATTGAAATGATACCTCTCTTTAGTATTCACCACCTTTTCGGTGTAGATGTGCCATCTCCCTGAGAATCATCATATCGGTGTTTAGTTTTCCGCTAGTATACTTCCGAGTGCGCGAATCAGAGATGGAGGCGTTCAGAAATAGCACAAGTGATAACGGTCGGTTTAGAACAATAAGCCATCAGCAAGGAAAGTAATGATTTACTTGTTGGACATTTGATCCTCTTGGAATATCTTGTCCCCACTTTACTAGCTCGATCTTTGTTCTAGGGTTTGCTTCCCGAAGGCTTATTTCGCCACTGCAAGTTTTTGAGAAACCACAAGTATCATTCCTCTCAGGAGCGCATCTCGTCTTTGTCTATATGGAGATCCCAGAAAAAATCGATTGCTATTAGTAATACCCTTCTCACTTACGACGGGAGTAAGTACACTAGCGAGTTTTCTTCT